ATGGCATGGGAAAGCGATGCACCCCGCCACACACACCGTGGCGGACGTGATGGGAATGGCACGACAGAGAGGGCAACGACGGGTCGGGTGAGAGGGCGGTTGGGGAGAGGGCGTGGGGGGGGGGGGAGAGGATGGGGAGGAGGGGGAGGGGGAGGAGGGAGAGGGAGGTTGCCATGGATGGGGACCTAAAAGGATGTCAAAGAAGTGTATAAGGGAGTGCATGGAAACACTGCACACAGTTTCAGGGTGACAACGTTATGGCAGTTGTTGGTGGGTGATCAGCTGTTGCGCATCTATGGTGGAAAAAAGGAGAGTTAGTGAGTTGCAATGTTGATGCTGCGTTGAAGCAAGTTGCCACAACGAGTTGAGTGTACATGCTACACCACTCAAGTGCGTCGGATTATTGAGGCGAGGATACGGAAAACCGATCTCGCCTTCCCAGCCCCTCTTTCCCCACCTCCCCCCTCCCCGCCCCTCCCTCTCCCCACCCAACCTCCCCCCTCCCTCCCCGCCCCCCCGCCCTTGCGCACATGCTCTTCCCGAACGCGCGGAGCTCGGTGTCGCTGTTCGTGATGACGTCGTTCAGCTCCAGCGCCGCTGACGTCACCCTCTTGGAGAACTCGAAGATCTGCAGCCGCTGCTCCGCTGGGGGACGGGCGGGGCGGAATCGGGGGCGAAATGAGGGGGATTGGGGGGGCGAAATGAGGGGCCGAATTGGGGGGGGGGTGGATTGGGGAGGGGTCGCACTCGGTTGGACTTGGTTCAGTTGTACGACAGAAGGAGAGGATGTGAGAGGGGTGAGAGCCGAGGGAGCACACATGCAGTCACTGGTTCGGATGATGGACCAAGGGAGGACGAAGGGAGGACGAAGGGAGGACGAAGAGACAGCGTAGGGCAAACGTACGCGGTAAGAGCTGCTGGTTGATCTTTGTGCCCGCGGTGACCTGGATGGCCGACGCCACGTTGTACACCGCCGTCGTCGTCGCGTTGGTAACCCTAATCGTGTAGTCGCCGATTTCGCCCAGCCTGTCGTTGAGCTGCACGCTCCCGCCAATCATCAACCCGAATCCCGTGCTGCGATAGGGTTACCACAACACAGTTACAAACAACAGCGAAAAAGGGGAAGAAGGAAGGGATGGAGTGAGTGCAACTATAAGGAAGAGCCTTTAGTATCAGGGGTTAGGGTGTTTCTGATTGGAAATCCAAGATCAGGGGGTCGGCAGGAAGCGAGCGGGAATGGGGGAAGGGGGAAGGGACGGGGAAAGACGATGGAGGAAAGAAGCGAGGGAAGAGAGGGGGCACGCGGAAGAGAGGGGGGCGGAACTGACCCAAAACATCCCTCGTGGCACGACCCCACGCAACCCTCGTCCACCGCACTTCCCTCACATGACAATCGTGCCGCCCACTACGAGGGCGTATAGCAGCTGCGAGATGCCTTTTCAGATTTGAAATCAGAAAACAAACAAACCCTGCCCACCAATAGTTCCCTCACATGACAATCATGCCGCCCACGATGAGCGCGTATAGCAATAACGAGATGTGCTGCGGCGAGTACACGTGCGCGGCGGGGTCGCGCATCTGGTCCCAGCGCGCGCGGAAGAAGACGAAGAGCGAGAGCAGGAAGAGCACGAAGCCCACCCCGAAGAGCAGCCACGCGAAGCCGATCACCGGCGCGTACACCACGGAGAACGTGACGGACTGGGGGAAGGGGGGCGGGGGAAGCGGAGAACGGGGGAGGGGAGAGGTAAGCGACGAAGCCGACGCAGAAGAGCAGGAAGGAGGGAGGGATGGGAGGGGGAGGGGGAGGGGGAGGGGAAGGGGGGAGCGGAAGGGGGATTCGAGAGGGGAAGAAAGGGAAGTGAGGGGGAGGGCAGGGGGGTGGGAGGCCGAGGCAGAGGGGGTGTGGGGTAAGGCCTGGGGGCGAGGTGTCGATGTTGAATTTGCTACATGTAATTTTGTCCCTGTGTTGATTGGTTTTCGGTAGGGCGTGGCAAGACTGTGGTAGAGAGTGGAGGGCGACGAGGCGGAGGGAACGATTAAGAAGTCTGTGGTCACCTGGAAGATACTTAAAGCCAGGGACCCAAGTTTCTAGAACCTGGGGCAATTGTTTGACAATTGGTTGGGAAAAAACAGGTTTTGTGTCGTGAGGGTGCGTGAATTGCAGCACTCGCAGGCGATTTCACTGGTGCCTACAGCTCGCCGGCCAATTAGTAGTTTTAGTCCCAACCAACTGTTTTACAGTTGGTAAACTTGGGTTCCTGGCCATCACTTACGGCCCAGTAGTCGTTGGACGACAGGTTCCACCCGCCGATGTAGTATTTGAACTCGTTGATCGGGTTGATGCGACGCGTGCGATCCGTCGCAAGAAGAATTGTCGCATTCGCGAGAACCGACCCCGTCGCATTGACCACGGTCGACCCGTCTGGCGACAGCACCGACTGCAGCAGATGCCGCCCCACGCGCTGCTGCTGGTAGGGCCGGTCGCTCGACTGTTGCCTCTCCTGCTGCCGCTGCCGTTGCTGTAGCTCGAAGGTCGCGTGGAGCTCGATAAGCGATCGCGCGTCTTGCTGCGATCGATGCAACGCGCCTGGTACTGCCGCGTGGCGATATACGGCAGTTTTGACCGCTTCGGCTGGTCTAACTGGCGAGGTGGTGTGAAGGGTGACTAATAGGAGGAATAACGGCATTACGTTGCTTCCGATGCTATTTGGTATTAAAGAGAGGTCACATGAGAAAGGTCGTGAATGGGGACGCATTTTGGCTGGTAGCTACTAGGAAGAACTCGAATAAGGAAAAAAATGCCCCTTCTTCGAATCCTGCTGCTAAGAGACGATTCTACTCCATACGGGGGAAATCGTGACGCGCATGCACCGGCCTGCGGTAAAAACCGCACAGCACGAGGGAAAAGGTGTTCGTCCTGCGGCCAGTCTCGCAAAAGCGGTTGCTTCCAAAAAGAAGCTTAAGGCATGCAAAAAAAACGGTGATATGGCCGCTTCAATGCTCGGAAATCCTAACTAGGAATGATTCAGAGACCCCTACTAACTGAAAGGAGGCCCGAACAAGTCGGTGTAAGAACAACTGCTCGTGGTTTCTTTCTTGGTGCTCGTTGCTGCTGCTCGTGCTCTTGTTGGCAAGCGGGTCCCGTGGACGAAGAGTAGGGACGGACGGGGCGAGATACAACTGAAGGGGGTGAAGAAGCGAGCTTGGAAGGCAGGGCAACGGTGTGTGTTTTAAGTGGTGGGAGGCTGGGGGAACAAGGGAAATTTAGGAGGTGAATGGCGAGACGAGACACTAAAGATGGACGGTACTGATTGGATAACGGCGCGCACCGACAATCACGTTTCCAAGCTAGCCCGTCTCGATAAGCTCGGAAGCCTGGCTCGGGCAGAAGCTCGCCACGAAACCTCCTCCAATAATAGCGCGAGATTGCTGTTGCCCAGTGCCACGCCGCTAGGCCAAAAATGAAAAGGCCACGACGAGGACGGCTCCAGGCCTGGAGCCCGAGCCGCACTGTGTGATTCGGGCAAGCGGCTTGCTGATTTGGCTTGATCTGTGTGGGGAACTGAAATGTGTGTGTGCTTGAAATTCGAGGGAATGACGCGCTTCCCGAAAATAGCATTTTTGATTCTCGTTTTCACAGGCAGTTACCAGAACCCCGCTGAGCGCGTTTCTGATTTCCGCTGTCAGTTTTTTCTCGGAATTGTTTTATGGGTGTTTTTATAAACATCTGGGTCAGGAGTCAATTTTCAGGAGTGACGCCAGCTGCGCATCTTGTCCTTTGAATAAAGGCAAAACATTTGGAATGCCAAATCTTGCTGTTTCGTTTGACTCGCGCCAATTCCGCGCACGTTTCATTGCCACAAAACGTGGGTCATATATATATATATATATATATATATATATATATATATATATATATATATATATATATATATAGCCCACGTTTTGTGGCAATGAAACGTGCGCGGAATGGCGCGAGTCAAACGAAACAGCAAGATTTGGCTGGTCCCTAAGGGTTTTAGTTTTTTTTCGGCTAAACTGCCCGTCTTTTGCTGCTGTCATTTTCCACCGCTCCGACAAAAAAAAATATTGAGTGTACACTTATTCTCCGGGACACTCTATAGCGTTGCACTTCAGATACCCTTACATTCCATGCGAAGTGCTGCGGAAAAGTTGTCGAGGTGTTCGCAGTTTCGTGACTCAGTAAGACACCCGATAACTTACAGAACAAAATACTAGCGGCCGAAAATTCACTATGGAAATATCCGCTACAATCCGTTTTGTCCGGGGTAGCCAGAAAAACGAATTCAGTCCGAGCCGCGATGGTAAATGCAGTGAAGTGTAGAGTAGAACAGGTGTACTACGTCCACAAGTCGTGTTTGCGAGCACTGCGATTTGAAAAGCTGGCGGTTTCGTTTGACAGTGCTCGGATGCGTCCAAAACCCACAGCACGCGAGTTCTGTGCAACTGCGACCAAAACACGACTGCTATATATGAAAACATCGGGCAGGCCAAAATTCAAAAGTACATGGTACAGCCACAGTGAAAACCGTACCATGACAAAATAACTGACAGCGGGAATCGGAAACGCGCTCTGTGGGATAACTGCCCATGACCACATGAATTAATAACGCACCTTTTCGAAAGCGCGTCATTCCCTCTTAAAATTCTGAAGGCATAGTAACGGAATCTGTCAATTTGGTGATGTACGCGAAATTAACTTCAGAAATTACTATTCTGCTGTTTTGGTACCTCATGTAAATAATGTAATCTCATTAACCCGAATATAAAAATGAAAACAACAGTCATGGAAAGATTCTCCCTCATAATTTGTCGCTAATTTCAGCTTGCTATCCGTTCTAGTAGGAAGGTGTCCATCTACGCTCTCAAGCTTTGAGACATTATATTTTGTTTTATCAGTCTATCTTTCGCACTGTAGAAACGAATGGCGGGCCTCCACCCTCAACCATATTTCGTCGATGCAAAGGTCAGGCCTCAATTCACCACAGATGCGCCGTTCTCCTGGATGGGCGCCTTGCTTGGCGGTTTCGCGCGACCGCACGCAAGCTCTCAAGCCACCATTCCCAGGCCCCCTGAATTACTTCTAACATCCCCGAGGCAATGCGATCTGGGGTCTGTTTTCGTGCGGCGACTGGCTTGCGGCGACTCGTCCACCATATCTGGTGAATTTGACCTCCACGCCTTCGCGAATTCCACACGCAATTCCGAGCCATGGCGCCGAGCCAGCCTCCCAAGCCTAACCCGTTGCCTCGGGGCCCGGTGATGGCGATCTGCATCATGTATTTCACCAACGCCCTGGCGCCCACCATCCTCTTCCCCTTCCTGCCTCTCATGGTCGCTAGCTTTGCTGTCACCGACGACCCCACCAAGCTCGGGTGAGATACGCGAGATCGGGTTGCCATATCCACGTCCGCACATATACTCAGCTGATCCACGTCAGCATACCGCAGCTTCCTGCTGGCACCTTGTCAGCGAGAGCTATCCCGCCTGGGGGTTGGCGAGCTTTAGAGGCGAGTGACGAGCAGACAAGACCGTGAATTACCTTCTCACCGACACATTCTTGAGCCGCTCTCACATCACATGTGTGTGCCTGCCTGGCAGCTACTATGCAGGCTACCTGGGCTCCTCGTACTTCGTCGGGTCGCTGCTCACCAGCAGCTTCTGGGGGTGAGTGAAGGGGGGGCGAGGGGGTGAAAGGGGAGGGTGGAAGGGGGACAGGGGGGAGGGCGGTGGATGGGGGAAAGGAGGCGAGGGGGGGAAAGGGGAGGGGCTGTGTGGTTGGAGGGGGTGGTGGTGGGTGGGGCGTGCTGCTTGAGTTCATGTCGTCATATCGTTGATTGGGCTCGTCGCTGCCTGCCTGCCTGCCACATTCACATTCCTCTCCAGTGTGTGCTTCCTTCTGCCCGCGCTTTCGCTCCCCACCGTGCGACCTGCCAGCAGCCAGCTTCCCCTCACTCCTCTCACCTACGAGCCAATAGCATCAGCCCGTTCTCGTGCAGTATCATGAGCCCGCTATAGTCTGACACTTGGTGCGCTGGGAACCGCTGAAAGCCTTTTGAGGCGCCTCAAAAGCTATCTTCGCACACTTGGTGCGCTGGGAACCCCTGAAAGCCGCCCGTTTTAACTATCTGTGCGTGTACAGTGCTCTGTTACTCCCACGTACAGTGTCATGAGCGTGTGCGGGGGGGAGGAGGGAAAGGGCGAGTGGGCGGGTGGAGGGGGTATGCATATCCTCGCCAGGCCGTCCCATCTCATCATGGTGCCGGCCAGCTCTCCTCGTCCCTCTCCACCCATCCTTCCCCTCCTTTTCCCCCTCCCCCTCCCAGCATCGTGTCAGACCAGTGGGGGCGCAAGGTGGTCTTACTGATAGGCCTGGCGACCAGCGTGGTGTGGGGGGGCTGCCCTTATGTGGGCCTGTGCGCATGCATCTATTCTCTCCTCTCCCTCCCCCTTTCTCCCAGCATCCTGTCAGACCAGTGGGGGCGCAAGCCAGTGTTATTAATCGGTCTGGCGACCAACATGGTGTGCGGGGGTGCGTTCGGCCTGTGCACGTCCTTCCATTGGGCCATGCTCGTGCGCTTCCTGCACGGGCTCTTCTCCACCGTCGCTGCCACTGGAAGATCGTGAGCCGCTCTCCCCCCTCCCTTGTGCGTCACGCATTCAACGCTTGCTGGGTTTGGGGGGGCATTCAGCCTGGGCATTCAGCCTGGGCATTCAGCCTGGGCACGTCCTTCCACTCTGCCATGCTCGTTCGCCATGTAGACCATTGCATTGCAATTGCTTATGCCATGCGATGTCAGTCTCTTTCATCTCATGCCTGCCTCCCTTGCATGCAGCACAGTGGCCGAACTTTGTGACTCCACCAATCAGGCGCAAGGGTGAGATGCCTCTTACCTCTATCCCGCTCTCGGTGTCGCATTCTTTCTCGGTGTCTTTGCTGCAATAACCTTTTTTCTCTGCTTTGCTTCTGTGCGTCGCCTGGACGCCCTGCTCGTTGCTTGCCTCCCCAACACCCAGTGTCGCATTCCTTAACTACGTCTTTGCCGCAGTGGCCCGTTCACTGCTTATCTTCTCTAAGTCGATCCCTCCGTTTCTTCCAAGCTTTCGTTTCCGAGCCTCAAACAGCTCTTCTCCAATGGCTTCATTCTTCTCCAATGGCTTCATTCTTCTCCATTCCTGGTCAATCTCCACTCCATTTGCATCCCCTGCCCGTCTTCCCTCTCCTCTCCTGCAGGTTCGCCCTACTAGGAACCAACTTTGGCCTCGGGCTGCTCATTGGTACGCCTCAGGCTCCCTTATTGTCTTTTCCTCACACACATTACTCTCACACACACTTAGCTCGCATACACTACTGCCACACCCACTATGCTCACACACACTTAGCTCGCATACACTACTCCCACACACACTACGCTCTCACACACTCAAATCGCATACACTACTCCCACACACACTACGCTCACACACACTTAGCTCGCATACACTACCCACACACCCACTACTCTCACACACACTACTCTCACACACACTACTCTCACACACTCTACTCCCTCACACTACCTCTCACGCACCCTACACAGACTCTAGACACATGTGTACTTCCAATTCTCTTCGTTCTCCTCTCTTTCCCACACGCCTTGGCTCTCTTCCTCTCCATAACCCCTGGCCGTCCTCCACCCCCTCACTCCCCCACCCACACTTGCAGCACGGGGTTGGTGTCTTTCTGTGCGGCTCTTGAAGCACCCCTGCTTCGTCCTTTCTTCCTTCCTGTTGCTTGACTCAAGCGCTGGTGTATTGATCCGTATTCCTTTACGTTCGTTCTTTCGCCCACTCTCCCCCCACCTCACCCTCGCCACAGGTCCAGCGCTGGGTGGCTTTCGGTGCGAGCCAGCACTCAAGTACCCCTGGCTGTTGCTGACGTCGTCCTTGATCAATTCCGGTGCACATGCCCATTCGTGTCCATGCATCCACCCATTCTCCTCCATCCTATTCTATCCCCCACAGGTCCAGCGCTGGGCGGATTCCTCTGCGAGCCAGCAGTGAAGTACCCCTGGCTGTTCCCGCCTCGCTCTCTCTTCGCGCGCTTCCCCTTCCTCCTGCCCTGCCTGCTGCTCGCCCTGCTCTCCCTGCTCGGCCTCCTCGCCACCGCTGCCCTGCTGCCAGAGACCAAGGGGTGGGCGCGCCCTGTGGTCAACATCGACGATGACCTTCAATCCGATACCAACAGTGGGGGCTTCAATGGTGGCAGCAACAGTGGCAGTGATGCCACCGCTGCCCTGCTGCGGGAGACCAAGGGGTGGGCGCACCCTGTGGTGGACAGAGATAGTGATCTGCATGGTCATAAGCATTGTGATATCGAGGAATGTGGTAGTAACGAGGGCGGAGCGATGAGGAATGTTGAAGCAGAAAGTGGTGGCCGCAGAGAGACGACCGTCATTAGAGTCACAGTGGCCTCAGTTGACAGTGGCAGCTGCGGCAGCAGCAGCAGCAGCAGCAGGAGCAGTGGCAGTGACAGTGGAAGCCGAAGGTCGAGCCTGAGCCAGCCTCTGTTGCAGTCAATAGCAGAGGAGAGAGACGAAGGGGAGGAGGAGGAGGAGTGGGAGAGAGGGGAAGGAGGGAGAGAAGGCAAACGGTGTGAGTGCAGGGGGGGTGATGAAGTGGCGCAGGGGCAGGGAGGGCAGCAAGGGAGTGAGAGGCGAGCAGGGAGTGGAGACGTGAGAGGGGGAGCGCATGCAGCCGGGGGCCAAGGGGGAGGAGCGAGAGGGAGGGGGGTTGAGGGGAGTGGAGTTGCGAGCATGGGAGAAGGTACGGTGGGACAAGCGTGTGAGGGTGAAGGGAAAGGGGGAGCGGGGCGGGGAGGAGGATGTGGAGGAGGAGGAGTAGGAGAAGGGTGGGGAGAGTATGATAAAGACCGGGCCGACTATAGGGATGGCAGCAGAGCCAGGGGGGACCTGAACCACCTGAAGGACCACCTGAAGGATCACCTGAACGGACAACACCTGAGAGAGCCGTTACTCTCTGCAGGGGGGGAAGAAGACGAACGACATGCAGGAAGGCGCTACAGTGATGGAGGTGTTGGCGCCTTCTGCGGGGGCTCCTCTTGGTTCTGCTCCTGCCTGCCACAGCTGTCTTGTTGCTGCCTGCCCTCCTGCCTGCCCCACCCGTCTCTCTCCCCTGTGGGCCTCTTCTCACCTCTCTGTGGGCAGCAGCTGGCGCAGGCACTGTTTGACAGCGCCACAGGTACCACTCTTGTATGCACAGCGCTCACCGCTCCCACCATCCGGATCGTTTTCTAGATTTTCCGCATCATGATCCTTGTTTCGTTGTGTTCATCCAAAACCCCCCTCTCATCGGCATCCTCCCTGTGAAGACCTTTACTGAAATGGGGGGGATAACTGCCTTGCCATGCTCAGCTTTTATAACTGCCTCCCTAACCCCCCTTTCCCCTCTCGTCTTTGTTCCACTCCCTATCATCACCATCACCATCACCATCACCATCACCATCACCATCACCACCACCATCACCATCACCATCACCATTACCATCACCATCACCATCACTATCACTATCATCATCATCATCATCATCATCATCATCATCATCATCATCATCATCACCATCACCATCACCATCACCATCACCATCACCATCACCATCACCATCACCATCACCATCACCATCACCATCACCATCACCATCACCATCATCATCCCTCCCAGTGAAGGCCTTTCTCTTCCTGGCGCTGCTCAGCTTCGCTACCACCGCATTCAACGAGGTAAGCTGCAGCGCCAGCGGCATGGGGTTATGAGCAGGGTGCAACCCGTGTGGTCGTGTGAGGGAAGCTGCATGCTTAAAATGAGGGGAGGTGCAGATTGTAAGGTATCAAAGTGAATCAAGAAACAGCATTTGCAATGTTGGGATGGTTATAACGGGTGCAGAAATGTGCATTATCATTGAGTCTCTCTTTCCACGTCCTTTCCTCTTCCAGGTCTTTCCTCTCTGGAGCCTAACTGATTGGAGGTTCGGAGGGCTCAGCTTCGGCACGAACCAAGTAGCCATGGCCCAAACCTGTGCGGGAATATGCTCTGTAGGTTCCTGAATTGCTACAGATTTGAAGAGATTTCTTGTGCAAATCGTACACTCTCAGCACACTATAACTTCATTCACTAGACTTGCCATGGACAATTCCAAAACATGCATCACTTACAATCTCAGCACATATCGAGTACTGCCAAGCAAGGGATCATGTTGCGCTCCCCTTCATTCTCGTGTCCACCTCTCTCGCAACCCCTCCCTCTCATATGCCCTTCATCCCTCAATCCTCTGTCAGGTTATTTTCCAGTTATACGTGTATGCTCCGCTTGTCAACAGAGTGGGTGCTCGTGGGGCCGTCCAGGTGAGCACTACTGTACCTCAGGTGGTTAATACTGTAGCTCGGGTGGTTAATACTGTAGCTCGGGTGGTTAATACTGTAGCTCAGGTGGTTAATGCTCGGGATTGATATTGCAGCTCTGGTGATCCCTACGGCTTTGTTGGTTTGTTCGTGTGAGTGGTCTGGTTTGGAAGTTTCCCACGAACGTTATGCCGACGCCATTTCAGGTTGGGTCTCTCCCGGGCGGATTCTTATGTGGACTATCTTGCTGCTATGTCTTCTCCTGCCCATCATTTGCCATGTGGCTTCACCCAATCAGGTGTCGCTGTCAGTTGGCTTCGTTATAGTCACATGGCTTCCCTTCATCCGCGCGTTCGGCCATGGCAGTCAAGCCACCGTCATTGCTGCTTGCCTCTCCCTGGCCATGCGGAGGTATGCATTTATACAGTATACATTGACTTTTGAACGTGTGATGCGTACCTGTGCTGTGATTAGTATGTGTTGTGTACTTCATGTATGTGTTGTGTGTGTGTGTGTGTGTGTCCGAATGGGTGCAGTTTTGCGCAGTGTGTGTTCACATCAGGCTTCATCTTCATCAACAACAGCATCACAGACCCGTCCATGCTTGGTGCTGTCACGGGCATCACACAGAGCATCAACCTCTTTTTCAGGGCCATGGCACCTGCTGCTGGTGCATCCGTGTTTGCATGGAGCATCAGCGGTAAAGGGTTCTTTCCTTTCGACTACCATTTCTTCTTCTTTGCTCAGGCAGCTCTTCAGCTCGTTTTGATATTAATTTCTCGGTCCATGCCGGACCATATTGACAAGCCAAAGTTTGTTAGGCGTCAAACATAAGTGTATCAAAACGATGAATTTTATTGGGTGGGCTTTCATGCAAAGGCTCTTAATCTACACCAACTTCTCACATGAATGGTACCGTAAAAGCCTGGATACAAGACTCCCTCGTAGTAGAAGATCTAAGATCCTCTATAAGGCATCTATCTTGTATTCAGCATTCGCGTTTATAAAACACCACCATGGCGGTGTTAAATTATATCTTTGGTATATTATTGGTAGGCTTGGTAGGTGTTCCTGAAACCTACTGTAGAGGGTACAACCCCCTCTTTTTTAGTGTGTCTCTTTTTCTCTCGTAACTTTCTCCTAGCTAAACCCTCACGCCATTTCATGGCTTCCTAGCTACCTAGCTCTCGTGACATGGTAACAGAGCAGCTTGCCCTTCCCGGGCCTGCTCCCCACGCTTCCGCCGCGTACTCGTACTTCCGTCGTCGTCATTTTCGCTACTTTCGTGCCGCCGCTGCGGCCATGCCGCACTGCAGTGACGGCGTCGTGGTGCTGCCGTCGCAGCCCCGACGCGTGGCGTCGACGCCACACCGCGGCGACGGCGTCGTAGTGCCGTCGCAGCTCCGACGTGCCGCCGCGGCATCGACGCCACGCTGTGGCGGCGTCGTAATGCTGCAGTGGCGGCGTCGTCGGGCGCCAGCCGGCTGCGCAACGTCTGAGGCGCCGCCAGTCCTGACGCCCACACGCCAGCCACGTGCGTGATGCGGGACCACACCGCCGCCCCCCCCCCCCCCCCCCCCCCTTTCCCCTGCCTCCCCTCTTCCTCACCGCAGCCGATGGCTGCCTCCCGCTGGCCATCCCACCGTCGCGGAGCCCGGCCCCGCCGCCGCTGCCGCCGCTGTTGTCGAAGCCGCCGCCGCTGTTGCCGCTTGCGTTGGGGCCACGCCGCCGCACGCCGCCGCCGCCACTGCTGTCGACGCTGCCGCCGCTGCCGCCGTCGCCGCCGCAGCCCTTGCTGTCGACGTCGCCGCCTCCCGAGTTGAGGGGTTGACCGGGCTGGTGTAGCCGTTGCTGCTACTGAGTAGGGCGTGCTAGATTTAGGGGGTGTGTGTGGTGTGCTTTCGGCTACCAAGCCTAGAGGGTGTGTTAAATTATATCTTTGATATATTATTGGTAGGCTTGGTAGGTGTTACTGAAACCTACTGTAGAGGGTACAACCCCCTCCTTGTATCCCTCTCTTCTAGTCTCTCTCTCTCTCTCTCTCTCTCTCTCTCTCTCTCTCTCTCTCTCTCTCTCTCTCTCTCTCTCTCTCTCTATCTCTCTCTCTCTCTCTCTCTCTCTCTCTCTCTCTCTCTCTCTCTCTCTCTCTCTCTCTCTCTCTCTCTCTATTTCTCTCGTAACTTTCTCCTAGCTAAACCCTCACGCCAGCTACCTAGCTCTCGTGACAGGCGGCACCGACCCACCCTTCCTACAGTAAGTAGCGCACTAACTCTTACATAGTACGCGCACCAGGCCCACAGAAGTCAGGCCAAAAAGGTCTGAAAGCCTGTATATCAGGGTGTTTTCCAGGGGTCACATGTTTTTTCAGGTTTTGATTTTCCCTTGTCCTAATTTTAAGGGGTTCTCATTTTAGGGCCTGTTCCTACGTGACACAAGGTCAGGCTGCTTCGTGTCAAATTTGTGTTTACAGGCGAATTTGACGGGCAAAATCCCAGAATGACACGATGTAGCCTGACATCGTGTCACGTAGGAACACACCCTTATCTCGTGTATCCTGATCAATCAGCCTTAATGAATCTTCTTCCTAAAACAGAATCCCTCCCCTCACCCCTCCCCCTTCCCCGCCCCACGGTGGTTATTACGCCTGGAATGGGGTCAGAATCCGAACCGAACTCTGCATGCTGGAGCATGCGTGAGGGGCGTGATTGGTCGACCAAAATCACTTGTCAAAATGGAGTTGCGATAGAGTATGTGAGAGGAGAGTTTCGGGTGGTCCTTAGCCGAATTTACCTGCAGCACTGAAGCTTTCCTGGAACATGGGTCTCTGGCGTGATTGGTCCTTGACTAAGTTTAGTAAAATACGACAAAGATGAGTGAGGAGCAGCAGCACTTGAAGAGGGAGGGACTCTGACCTGTGGCAACTGCAGCAGCAGCGAAGTTGAGAATGTGGTGCCCATGTATAAGAGCCATGTAAAAGCATCGGCAAAAGGATCATTGCCCATGAATATTAGAAACGTGGTTGCCTGCTCGTCTTCAACAACAGGAAAAACACAACCCAAAACAGGATTGCTCAAAGCGTAGGCCTGACTCGTCTGACTTCAAAGTTTGTAGGCGTGACAACAGCCAGACCCCGACCATGAAAACTATGGGCAGTCACAAGGGCGACCCAGAGTCATCAGCCCTCCTTAAACCAATCTTTGGGCCTGACACACAGATCTACTATGCTGCGTTACCTCATATAGAGGACGTGAGCGGGTGACAACAACCACCCGAGTCAACGTTTGAAGTGCAGCGAGAGGTTGCAATGAGAAGTTGCGACATGAGGCTACAAGAAGAGGTTTCGTCAGAGGTTTCTTAAATAGGTTACTTCATAATAAACACTCGTAGTATTTATACATGTTGCACTAATAAAATGTTCTCACAGTACAAGGATCTCTAAGTCTTCCGCTGACTCAAACTCTCCTGGGTTTCACAGAATCCTACTTGTTTGGTTAATCTCAATACGGGGATATTACTTCTACATGGTATTTTGAGCGAGTGGTTTTCCCTGGAACCCACAACTCTCGCCTTGGGCTCCTCAGTTGCATTCAGCTATAAGCATCATCAATTCAGCAATTAATCAAACAAATATTTACTCCATGTCGGGCAAAGGGCCTTTCGGCCATCCCACTACTTCGCATATTTTTGGACAGGAGGAGATTACAGCTGACTTCACTACAGTAATGGACAGATCCTATTCCTAACGGTAACACTATGTGCATCGACAGCTCAAACTACACACGTGCTGCAGCTGCTATGCCTCCAACGCCCAAACAAGGGTCCGCGAGCTCCTTCACCTTCCATGGCGGCCGTGCACTCGGACAGCAGCAGCAACAACAACACCAACAGCAAGTCAACAACAACCCTCCACTGCAGTCATAAACCAAGCAGGCTTCCTCACTATTTCGAAGCTGCAGACTTCGAGTGCCTTCAACGGACTTCCTTTACGTGGTCCTTTGAATTTGAGCTACCAGTGCAGTCTGAGGCTACTTCCATAGCTCCATCAAATATCATGAAATAAGAGCAGAAAAGGAAAAAGGGCATCATTCTCGACTCTTGCTAATGGCTTACACACTACTGATGGGGGACCTCTCCTCTTTAGAGCATAACCGTGTGAGACCCTTCACGAGCATGCTCGCCCCCGCGTACTATGCCTGCGACAACCTCTCCAAGGTATACCCGGCACAAGATAGTGTGACACGAAGCAATCTTCTACACCAACTAAACTTGGTTCAGATGCTCCAACAAGAAGACCAGAAGCTATGCCAATCGCTTCGGCAACTTGCGGACCAGTACCTCAGGAGCGGTGGGAGTTTCCCTAGCGAGCTATTTGTCACCGTACTCCTTGCTAGCCTCGGCCCCGACTGGCGCATGTGCAAGGCCTTCCAGTGCACACAAGGGGAATATCACGGAGAGCGCGCTTCACGGAACATCCATTGCCAAACAGCAAGACATGGATCTGTACAACACAGGCAACAAGTCAGATGCAAAGAAATACAGTTTTCACACTGGACAAAAGAATGACGGAGTTAGTCAAGGGGAGAATAGAAAAACAGCCCTTCTGCAAGTTATGCAACAAACCCATCAACTTCATTGATGAATGCAAAAAGCTGAAAGACTGTTGTCGAGCAGAAGCTCAGCTGAGACGCCCGTAAGGTGTTGTCTAGGTGCCACGGCACACTATCTAACCACCAGCTATTGCATCTTTCTCGTCGTGACCTGCACATCACACATGACCGATCGTTCATGGTCGGCACACATTGGACTGCCAGCATACAATACTGGGCAATTCATGGTGAAGTAAGTGACCCTGAAGGTGATCGAGGGTCACATGAGCCACTGGCGTATCTAACCGAGCGCCCGTGCCCGCGACCAGAGACGCCACCAGAGCCGATCAAAATCGATGAAGAGGAAGCCGAAGTTGAATGCCAAGCCATTTTGCGCACTCTCAACGTGCAGCTGTACGCCCACAACACGAAGCGGAATTATCCTCACGATGTCAATACGTGGTTCCTCGGCAGCTACTACGGGCACCACATGGCGTCGTCTTCACGATACCTTCTTCATTGGAAAGCGCAGAACGTGACATGTATACGATCACAGTGGCAAACAACCAAGAATTAATAGCAATGGCACTTGGCAACGCCCTACTCGAGTCCAGCGATACAGGCATTTCCTTACACTTAATCAAGGTACTCGTTGTCGACGACCTCGGCTTCAACCTCCTCTCTCAGGGGTAGTTGATGGAAGACGGCATTCACTGTATCAGTGACGCTGGCCGCATGGTTACTAGACCGTACATGGGAGCCTAGAAAGTCGATAAGAGCAACTTCATTGGACTTCTCGAGATCCAAGATGACATCTCGGTTCTTCGCTTCTCCCTGAAGTCTTCTTGTGGTGACAGTCAGCACGCCGTCGCTCTCACCCAGTGGCACCATCGCGACAAGACCAACCTCGAGACGCTTGGCCACTGTGGCTTCACCGTCTTTCATGCGACACCTCAACCGTCCCGCTCGTTCTCGCCCGCACTCGAACCAGAAGTCTCTCAAGCAGCTCTTGAACTTGCACAAGGATGGGGAGCAGCAGCAGAAGGGGGATGGGGAGCAGCAGCGGAAGGGGGAACAAGTGCAGCAACAGAAGGAGTGTGGCCATCGGCCACTAGAGCATGGGGCGATGCTCGTGCGTGGGATCTGTCGGATGACTACAAGTACATCGCAGCTCGCATCAACAATCCCGTCAAAGTTAAAATCAACTAGGGATTTGTTTGCTGAATTGTCCCCCACGCTGCTGCTCGCCATCGAGTCGATAGATTTTCATGGGTCGATTCCGCCGAAGAAGCTGGCTTCACTCCCCCA